TTTGTTTCTCCCCCCCTACTCCAAATCCCAACCCCCACTCTACTACTGCATAAATGCTGCCCCCTCCACACTTCACATCAGCTCTGATGAAGAGTCATCTCGACTCGAAATGTTATCTTGCACTCTCTCTCTCCATGGATGCTGCCTGTCCCGCTGTGATCTCCAGCATTCAGTGCAGATTCCAGCATCTGCAATAATTTGCTCCAGCATTCCCTTTCATACAGTGTAAAATGTTGTTCCCTTTACATTGATGTTCTTGCAAATTGTCCTGATTAGTGCAAGATGTGAATCTTCAACAAAATGTGTTTTTTTCTCAGCAGTAGCAGCAATGTTGAAAATGTTGAGAATTTAGAGTCCCAAATTATAAGAAGGCTGAAGGAGCTGGACATGTTTCTAGAAGAAGCTGGATGAGTGTTTGTTAAAATACTGAGAAGGCATGAACAAATTATTTGATTTGTTCGGATAGTGCGAGGACCCAGGGGTATAAGCTCTATACTCTGCCAGTTGCCTCTCTGGCTGAGGGAGAATGCAGTAATCCTGGGTTTCATCCAATGGGAAGGAGGCTGTGATATTGGAGAGGTGGAGATGTGACAGTAGGCTCTCTGCTTGCCTCCATATCGTCAGACACCTTCAAACCCCTCACACTCTCTTCCCTTTGTTTCGTGGTGTTTGTAGCTGTCTGTAAACTTGACCTCCCTGGGAATTTCTGTTCAGCACTTCACCCAAAAGATCTTTGGCAGCCCATAGCTCCACAAAGTGGTCGCAGCTTCTATCAGGGGCCAATAAGTAAAGGCTCCTTAATGCCTCGTAGAAATGCTCATATGAAATTGAATATCTCGTTGAGAACAGACCAAAGCCCTTGTGAAAAATCTTACAAGAGTTAATTACAGGCAACGACAGTTACAGAATCAAAGGGAGTAGCTGGTATTGAGATAAAGTATTGAATAGTGGAATAGAATGGAAGGGTTGACAGTCATCTACTATTTCACCATTCATTGAGATCATCACTATTCTAAAGTCCACCGACTGTAAACCTTAATAGCTTCAGCAAAGGCAAATCTATCAGGTTGCTGTTTTGAAATTTCTAGTTTACCTCTTCACCACCTTCCAATAGAGACAGTTCCAAATCCATTTGGGAATAACTCATGAATCATGGCAAAGGTTGGAACAGTTGCTGTGGGCTGGAGTGAGCTGCAGTTGGAGCAGTAGCGTGGCAGGACAGAGGTGAGCGTGGGGAATAACCGGAAAATTTGCTTTGAAGTTTGTAAATTCGTTTAAGAGATGAAGTGATTGACACAAAGCACAGAGCGAGACGAAGCTGACAGGTTGTTCTCATTTCACGTGCTTTGATCATCTTAAAAGGGGAATATTACGAGTGAGAGACGTGCACAGTGGGATGGATCTTGATTTGGTTCACTGGAGTGGATCTGGCTTCACTTTGCTCCTAATATAGAGGAGGTGATAGCCTAATGGTATTATTGCTGAACCATTAATGCAAAGAGCCAGGTAATGTTCGGGGAACCGAGGTTTGAATCCCACCACAGCAGATGGTAGAATTTGAATTCAATCATAATCTGGAAATACAAGTCTAATGATTACTATGAAACTATTGCTGATTGTTTGGGGGAGAAAAAAAACATCCGCTTCACTAAGTTCCTTTAGGGAAGGAAACTGCCATCCTTACCTGGTCTGGCCTGCGTGTGACTCCTGACCCACAGCAATGTAATTGACTCTTGATTGTATGGGCAATTAGGGATGGGCAATAAATGCTGCCTAGCCAGCAACACCTTCATCCCATTAATGAATTAACAAAAAAGAAAAACATATTCTCAGCGTCCATTTCTGGACAGTTAGAAAACGTTTTGCTAATTCTCTGTCATCTGACATCAAGGTCTAGCTCAGGGAGGGAGGAGTTAATGGTTGAAAATCATATGATCTTCGCCAAGAATAATGTTGGAAGGAGCTGTAGCCTGTGGATACTCACACATAGATTTAAAGTAATAATGCTGTTAAAACAATGGCCCAGGAAAAGATGTTCTGAGATAAATGGGCCATTCACACTGAGGTGGAAAGAAACAAATTCTAAATTCACAAATATAAAATGTTTATTTAAACCCCAGTGAAGTTTTGAGTTGGAGCTGGAGTGAAGTGACTTGGGTAATGCAGTGTGTGAGAAAAAGATTAAATAAAACACATGATTGCTTTTCTTGCTGTGTCTTCTGTAGGATTTATAGAGTGCTGCAGGAATATATGACAGTTGGAAATCTAAATGGCATTTGGGAAAACTGTTAAACCTGATTATGTAATATGTATGTGGCTTGCCAAACATGAGTGAGAATTTCCATGGATTTAGCTTTGGAGAGTTGCCATCTCCAGTTACCAATAATCTCCCATCTTTAGTTCAAGGGATTAACTTTACTCAAAGTGCAGTGAGCACAGGAGGATTCCAAAGGGAAAATAAGTTTCCACTGAATGAGATCAAACCTCCTATTGTCTGAGCAGAAACTATAGATTGTGAAGAGCTTTGCAGAAACCTGCCATAATCAAGAATTCATGGAACTCGGAGGGAAACATTTAACCCATCAAGCCCTTACAATCTAAACAAAAACTGAACTGGATCAGTTGCATAAATATTGAGATTACTTGAGCAGCTCCAAGGCTCTGGGGATTCTGCAGCAGGTAACTCACTTCGTAAGATTACAGTCTGTCCACTGTCTGCAAGAAATAACTCAGGATGGAATTCTCCTCACTGGGCTGGATGAGTGCAGCTCCAACAATAGTCAAGAAGCTTGACACGATCCAGGCCAAAACATCCTGCTTGTTTGTCAGCTCACTCACCACCTTCAACATTCACTCCCTTTACTGGCCAATATACAGAAACAGCTGTGTGTGCCATCTGCAAGGTGTATTGTAGCAACTCTCCAAGATTCCACAACAGCACCTTCCAAACGCACAACTTTGACTACCTAGAAGGTCAAGAGAGCAGATATGTGGGAACACCACTATCTGCAAGTTCCCCACTAAGCCACACACCATCCTGATTTGGAACCAAACCACTGTTCTTTTATTGTTGCTGGGTCAAAATCCTGGAATTCCCTCACTAAGAGCATTGTGGGTCTACCTCCACCACAGGGTTGCTACAGTTCAAGAAGCTGGCTCACCACCACATTCTCAAAGGCAGTAATCGACAGGCAATAAATGCGAGCCTAGCCAGGAATGCAGAAATCCCGTGAGTGAATTGAAAAAAAAGTCTGCTGATTCCATTCCAATTTCTTGAGTAGTATGAAGGTTTGAAAAGGTTAATGCAGCAGTGTAACCCCTACCAACATGATTATGTAAGAGGCCACAGAGAGAGGGACTTGAGAGACAGGATGAAGGCTCATTAACATATGAATTATGACGCTGTTGAAGGTAAAGAGAACATTATCCATTGAATGCATCTGAACAGTTCTGCAATGCTGATCAGATTAATAGCCACTTACTGTTAAAGAATAAAACCTTATCATAAATCATTGCATTTAAAACACAATTAAGTTATCATATGGTATCCAATTATGATATGTGAAGTTGGTAGAATCTTTTAAACTTGCCTGTCGAAGGATTTCTGACTCCAAAGTAAGGTTTGCAATTGGACCATGGCCCTTTTGACATGTGCCAGAGCTCAGTAGTCGGGATGTCTTTGAATGGGGCCTGTCCAGGGCTCGAAATACTTACAGTGAAGTGTGCTTTGTAACAGAAAGGCAAAATATTTGTAGGCCTTTTGCTGTTTCGGGACCCGTGTGAGATGAATGAATATGTAGATGTGTAAGGAGGATATTGAAGAAAGCATGATGGCATTGTGGTAGTTGTGAATCTGGGCACCCTCTGCCGCATTTTCACTGTTGAACCCAAAAGCAGGATTGGCACCAGTTCTTTCTACAGTCATATAACTATGCCCCTTGCTGCCATCTCCAGCAGCAGTTGGAAAGTGAGCATCAGCCCTAATGAGATATATAGGGAAGTGATGCAAGTATCTTGTCTGTGGAGCATCTTGTACCTGAAGATCTAATATGGCTTCAAACACAATAGTACAATGCAGCAGGACATCCAGCCCATCAAGTCCACACTGACCCTCTGAAGAGCATCCCACCCAGAGCGACAGTCCACCCAGTCTGCACATCACGGCTAATTTAGCACGGCCAATCCACCTAACCTGCACATCTTTGGACTGTGGGAAGAAACCCACACAGACACAGGGAGAATGTACAAACTCCACACAGACAGTTGTTTGAAGGTGGAATCGAACCTTGGTCCCTCGCACTGTGAGGCAGCAGTGCTAACCACTGAGCTGCCCTCTATTAACAGCATGCTTATTGTTTATAACTTGCCCCACAGAGCATTTATGCTGTTGTGGTAACAGTAGAGTTCCATTCAATGACCTGGGCGCACCGATACATTTACAATGGAGGTATGCTGACTGGAGTGTTGGGCATTTTTCTCATTATGAAGCTGCAAAATTCTTAACAAATGAGGATGGTAAGGGAAGTTTGTAAAATTGTGCAGAGTTTGAGCATGCTCAAGAAGCCCACAAATCACTGAGACAGCATTGGCTCTATCCACAACCGTCACCCAGGCCTCATCTTCACCAGCAACCTCCCTCTGTTTCTCATTAAGTGAGCACCTCCCATAGTGAATGGCCTCTTGTGGTTGAACATTCAAAGCTGCTGGTTCCTGGACGGGTGCTGTGTCACAGCCTTACCCCTCCCTCAGTAGCAACCCAGCTTTCAAGGCAATCTGTGTTCTTCTGGAGCTCCTGTTGCCAGATGAGCTTGCATCAATCCAGATGCTCTATCAATGCTGTTGCTGTTTGCCAGGAGTGCACCAATGTTGCTATTGGACTGTAAGGTCAGCTAAGAGCACTCCAGACTCACACATCAGCTTTCTACTATCAAATCAAGCAGTCTCAGTCAGCAAATGTAAACTTCACCTAATATTTTAATGCCTTAATTGATTTGACATAGGCCGAACCTCTTTGGGTACCACTCACCACTGAATCAGAGTTCACATCTCATTCCAGAGACTCGAGTGAAATCTCCAGTGTTTCAATGATGCTGTCTTGCAGATGAGATATTAACTTCAGCCCCAGGTAAGGTCCCGTGGCCCAGTCTTGAAGAACAACAGGCAAATTATATCCAGTAAACTGGCCAATTAGTTAGTCCACAGCAAACGTTACGACAGAGTATCTAGTCATTAAAACACTTTGCTGGTTTTTTTTGGGATCTTGCTGTGCACGATTTTACTGCCATGAGCTTAACAGGCCCACTGTGGTGCAGTAGTAGTGTCCTACGTCTGAGTCAGGAGGCCTGGGTTTAAGTTGTGCCCACCCCAGAGGTGTATCATAACATCTCTGAACAGATTGTTTAAAAATATCAATATGTCACCACTAGAATACAGCTTCTTTCTTTATTTTACACTTATCAACTGACTGTAGAACATCTAAAGTCCCAGTCTCACACCCAGTGCAGAAATTCTGTAATCTAATTCAGAACCAGACATGGTAACAATGATGTAATTGAACCCCAAGGCCCCAAACAATATTACCAGATGACTCCCAGACCTTGCATGTCTGTCTTCGTCTGGTATCCGTTTTCTCTGAAATCCTTTCTCGGGCGCAAACTTCACACATATTAAGCACTTTAAAGAAAAACAATACAGTTTCCTGAAGCCAAAAATCACTGTCATATGTTTGGCTGAGCAATTCCGTACATTTCATTGCTACTCTATCTGAGCAAAGGTCACAGCAGTGCTTTGGAGAGGAATTTCTTAGATTTCCTGGCCAATAATTATCCCTCAATCAATGTCGCTAGTAAACAATGATCTGACCATTATATTAATGTTGTGTGTTGGAGTTTGCAATGCACAGTATCTCCTATATTCCCGCATTGACTAACACTCCTAAAGCTTGGCTGACGTAACTGCTGCTTGTTTCGAGGCTGCCATCAGTAACCAGATACAGCGGCCTCTGTAAAAATTCTGGATTTGCAGGTCACATCAAGGCAACATTTCATCCTGGACCTTAGTATGGTCTATAATGTGTGTGGAATGGTGCAGGTCTACAGCTTATTCCTCTATGACCCACAACTTCTATTTTCCTCTACAGTTGCTCTTAACCAGCCCTCCATTTTCAACTTCAATGAGCAATGCAACTGGGCAAAGCACCACAGGAGAGGTTTCTCACTGCTTTCCGTGTGTGTGCTTAAAGGAAACCAAGTCTGCTTCCTGAAGGACCTTGTGCCAGGAAGCAGCGAAGGGTCTAGGCCCGAAACGTCAGCCTTCCTGTTCTTATGATGCTGCTTGGCCTGCTGTGTTCATCCAGCTCTGCACCTTGTTATCTCAGATTTTCCAGCATCTGTAGTTCCTACTATCTGTGGTCCCTTGTAGGTTTGCTCCCTATGTCATCACCACTGATTATTGACTGGATCTGTGCCATTGGTGTAGGTTGGTATGGGACATCTAACCAGACCTGGGGCAGTTCACAAGATGGGAAGAATGGCTAGCCCCTGAGATCTTAAATGACCCCGCTATCCATTAATGTAACCCTATTAAAAATAACACTGTTACAGTAAAGTTATTAAATGTAGTTGGGATTGAAGTTGGGAAAGTTGGCTATTTTCACACTCAAACATAGAATAATTGTGCTGTGTTGTAGCTTGCTGCATTGATTTTAATGATTCCATTATAATGACATTTGATCTGTTCCCAAGAGATATATAGATATATGAGGCATAAGAGACAAATCATTGAATAATTTTCATCTTAGTTTAACATTCACATAGAAACAACTGGGGACTTTTGTATTAATTGCACAGTGTGTTCTAATGGAAGCAATCCTCTGATATCGCCTTCTCCCTCTGTCCTCTCTCCTCAATTTCTCTCATATAGAAATGTGTATTTGTTTTGAACAGCTTGTCATTTTAATTGAAATGCTTGAAGCTCAGGTCGTTGTGGTCCAACTGGATAACGTGTGTGAACACTCTCTTTTCTTTACCTTCGCATATTTGCATAAACGAGAGCTCTTCTGCCAGTTTTGTCTCCAGATGTCAACCCTAATCCTGAAAATTTCATTGTATGGCTCCCAGCGTCTAAGCATTCTGCTCAGCTTTCTGCCAAATCCAATATATTTTAATTACTAATAAACCGAAGGTTTAATTTTAATGAAGGAAAAATCATTTTTATAGTGCGATTTTTCAATATGGTTTTTCTTTCTTTCTGGGTGCTTACGGCAATTCCTGGAGACATTTCTGATTGCCAATTGCAGTGTATGCTCTTAGATCCAATTTTTTTTTACAACATTAGGTAAGTGAAGGGTTCTTACTGTAGCCATGGTCTTGCTTATTTTTCAGATGTGTGGGAAAGAACTAGCGAGGTGAGTAATTTCTGACAAGACTGACAAGGTTGAAAGCATAGATTCGAGATTTCCAGATTTTGGCTAAGTGGAGTAGGTAGACACAAGAGATTCCATTGAGCTGTTCAAAGTCACTGAATTGTATCAGCAACTGAAGGTCAGGGGTTCTAGGCTCCCTGACACCCTTCAGAAATAGTGAACACTCGCTGTCGGACAGAGATTCATCCTCTTTTGCCTTTGCTGGCCAGTATATTGAGCGTAGGAATTGGGATGTCTTGTTGCGGCTATACAGGACATTGTTTGGGCCACTTTTGGAATACTTCATTCAATTCTGATCTCCCTTCTGTAGAAAAGATGTTGTTATACTAGATTTACAAGGATGTTGCCAGGGTTGGAGGGTTTGTGCTGTAGGGAGAGGCTGGATAGGTTGGGGTTATTTTCCCTGGAGCATTGGAGGCTGAAGGGTAACCTTATAGAGGTTTACAAAATTGTGAGGGGCATGGATAGAGTAAATAGCCAAGATCTTTTTCCTAGGGTGGGGGTGTCCAAAACTAGAGAGCATAGGTTTAAGGTGAGAGGGGAAAGATTTAAAAGGGACCTAAGGGGCAATTTTTTCACACAGAGACTGGTGTGTGTATGGAATGAGCTGCCAGAGGAAGTCGTGAAGGCTGGTACAATTACAACATTTAAAAGGCATCTGAATGGGTATATGAATAGGAAACGCTGAGGGAGATATGGGCCAAATGCTGGCAAATGGAACTAGATTAATTTAGGATATCTGTTCGGCATGGAATAGTTGAACTGAGGGGTCTGTTTCCATACTGTACAACTCTATGATTCTATGACTCTCCCATAGCCAACACAATTTTGAAGCATCTTTTGTTTGTAGAGTATTTTGGAATGTTCTGATGCTGTGAAGGATGCTATATACATGCACATAACTCTTTTCATCTGTTTTTCAATATAGATTGCCCCATTAAATGATCCTGCTGTTGTTAAAAGTGAAAATGATATCATATATGTTGGTTAAAAGAGAAGAAACTAAACTAACATGTCCATTAACATCAAGAAAAGCATGGCTGTCAGGACAATCTCTACATCTCTCAATCTTGTCTCATTTAGGGAACAGCTCATTGAAAGAATAGATTCGATGCCAAAGAGCAGGTGGGAGTTGGTACAACATGTTGTTGGTAAGAAATATTTGCAGTGTGAGTGTCAGGAATTGTGGGAACCACTTTGTTACAAACATAAAGCCAAGGAGCAGGTGTAGGCCATTCAGCCCCTTGAGCCTACTCTGCTAGTCAGTCGTGGCTGATCTTATCATTGAAATCCACTTGGACCACACAAAGTTCTTTCCTTTCTGATGCGATAGGACATGATAGCTGAATATTTGCTACTGTCATGATCTGATCATTTATTTAGCTCCCGTGACAGTAAAAGGAGATGAAGGCAAATTCAATCTACTTTTCTTACAGCAATTGGTAACTTCATATATATGTACCAATCGCACACACTTGTATGCTTGTGCTGACACTAAGAAATTCATGACGTAGCACATATTCATCAGTGTGCTATACTGCAAAAGGACAGTGAAAGATGGAAACCGAGAACTTTATATTGTTAGGTCAAATGCTGATGACATCATGAACATGTCTCTTGAAGGTATATCACACAACTGCTGCACACCCTTTTTTCTACAAACAGATATACATCGACTCTTTGGTACGTACAACCTCATAGATTGTACTAAGGAGAAGTGGTGGTATAGCATTAATATCTCTGTGCCAGTATTCTGGGGTTCTGTGTTCAAGTCCCTGCCGTGGCAACTGGTGAAATTTGAATTCAATAAAAATCAGGAATAAAGAGCTGGCCTAATAACAACCATATAACCAATGCTGATTGTCATTAAACCCATCTGGTTCACTAGTGCCCTGTCCATAACTGGTCTGGCTTACAAGTGACTCCACACCCACAGCAATTTGGTTGAATCTGTGCATAGTTAAGGATGGGCAGTAAATGCTGGCCGCATCTTTTGAACTAAAATAAAATTATAATTAGGTATGAAAGTGATGCTAATGTTAAGGAGAAACCTCTATCAATGATGTTGAAAGTATATTTTGTTTTGCCTTGTGGGGAAATCTAGAATGACAAACAGCAATTTTTGAATAAGTGGTCTCCAATTTAAGACAGAGATGAGGAGGTGGATTTTTTTTAATCTCAAAGCACCATTTCTGTTTGGAACTCTCTCCTGCAGCAATCAGCAGACGCTGGGTCACTGAATAGAGTCAAGGCTGCGTTAGGTAGATTTTGGATTGACAATGGTTTTGGATTTGATTTTGATTTATTATTGTCATATGTACCTAGGCACAGTGAAAAGTTCTGTTTTGCTTTTACGGGCACATCATACCATACAAAGTGCTTTAGGGTAATAAAACAGTAAGGGATACAGTGTTATGGCTGCAGAGAGGGTGCACAAAGAGCGAGGCCACCATTAAGTTTAAAATTTGAGAGGTCCATTCAGAAGCCTAGGAACTGCGAGGAAGAAGCTGTCCTTGAATCTGTTGGTATATATGTTTAAGTATTTATATCTTCCACCTGATGGAAGAGTTTGGAAGAGATTATATCTCGGGTGGGAGGTATCTTTGATTATGTTGGCTGTCTTCCCAAGGGAATGCGAAGTATTGAAGAGGTCAATGGATGGAAGGTTGGCTTGTGTGATGGACTAGGCTGGGTGCACAACT